ATTGGGAGGAGGGAACTCGATTTTCCTGTCAATGCGGCCAGGGCGCAGCAGAGCAGAGTCCAGGATGTCGATGCGGTTGGTGGCCATGATCACCTGCATGGGGAGAACAACTGTCACCACTCCGGGCTCCCCCGCTGCCACCACAGGGCCAGCAGGACACTGCCCCAGCCCCCAGCAGGGACGGCACCGTCCTACCTTGATGTTCTTGGTGGCTTCAAAGCCATCGAGCTGGTTGAGGAGCTCCAGCATCGTGCGCTGCACCTCGCTGTCCCCGCCTGAGCCCCCCTCCAGGCGGGAGGAGCCGATGGAATCAATCTCATCCATACCATGAAGATGATGGAGGGGGCATGTTCCCGGGCCATCACGAACAGTTCCCGCACCATGCGGGCACCTGCGGGGAGCAGAGAGCTGAAACCTGGCACCAGCACGGCCACAGGGCTTGTGCCTGCCCTGGCCACCTTGCCAGGGGCCAGTCCCGGGGCCACCCAGCACCCTGAGAGCCTTCGCCGGGGCTGCGGCTCGCGTGGGTGCAAGCGGCCATTTCCCCCCGCGTCCTTTTACCTTCGCCGATGAACTTCTGCACCAGCTCAGAGCCCGAGACGCGGATGAAGGTGCAGTCAGTGTGGTGGGCCACAGCCCTGGCCAGCAAGGTCTTGCCCGTGCCGGGGGGTCCGTAGAGCAGCACACCCTGCAACGGCCACGGGGAAAGCTCAGCACCCCCGTCCTTGCCCAAGCAGGGAGCCCCCAGGAGTGACAGAAGCCATATGACAGTGACACCGCAGAACACCCAAACGCTGACCCCCACCAGAGACCCACCACAGCAGCACTTGCCTTGGGCTGGGCGATCCCCAGCGCCTCGAAGAGCTCAGGGTGCTTGACCGGCAGCTCGATCACCTCCTTGATCTCCTTTATCTGCTTGTCCAAGCCCCCGATCATCTCGTAAGTGGAATCGGGAACCTTCTCCACCATCATGAGGGACACGAGAGGATCCACTTTGTTGGGCAGGATCTTGTGCAGCGTGTAGCTGTCGTTGCGCAAGGCCACGCGGCAGTTTGGGGTCACCTGTGGCAAGAGCAGAGGGGAGCTCAGCACCCCTGTGGCAGAGAAGGGGCCAGGCAGTGCCAGGCTGCCCGGAGAGAGCGGTTGTGTCCCTTCCCATGGCCCCAGGACACTCACGTCGTTAATATCAATGTTCTTGTCCACGTCCACCACAAACTTCCCTTCTGGGTGCACCTGGAAGGCAGCAGTTGTCACCATGAGAGTTATTTCTTTGAGAAGTCCCCTGTCATGTGCCCGATATTCACACTGGCTGCTCGGAGGGAAGGAGCCAGAGAATTCAGCTGCCCCCAAACACCCTGCAACCCCTCCTGCCCCTACAAAGCCCTAAGCCAGCTGCCTCCCACAAGCCCAGGGCTGGTGTGGGCCCAGGAGCGCTGCTGCAATGAGCTCCTCTGCAGCAAGAGCTCTCGCTTCACGTCTTTTAGCTGCTACACCCCCACAGAGCTGGGGCCCAAATTTGCTCCAACCTCCACAGGGTCAAGGGAGGGACTGTTGGACCTCACCCCGCTCCCCCCTGCTCTGTCCCAGCCCCGGTCACCCTCGGGACAGCTCAGCCTCGTACCTTGACCAGAACTTTCTTCTTGTCCATGGCTCTCACCACTTCTCCCACGTAAGAGCCCTGCTCCTGCAGCAGCTGCAGCTCCTCCCGCCGCAGGCGCGCTCCAACCTCCACAGGGTCAAGGGAGGGACTGTTGGACCTCACCCCGCTCCCCCCTGCTCTGTCCCAGCCCCGGTCACCCTCGGGACAGCTCAGCCTCGTACCTTGACCAGAACTTTCTTCTTGTCCATGGCTCTCACCACTTCTCCCACGTAAGAGCCCTGCTCCTGCAGCAGCTGCAGCTCCTCCCGCCGCAGGCGCACTGCAGAGAGGGAGACATCAGCGAAGATGAGAGGACCCGAGCCGTACCCTTAGCGTTCAACTCATTTCTCTGTGCTTGCAGGCGCCGCAGGTTCTGGCTCTTCTCGTTCACGATGAGCTGTTGGGAGAAAAGCTTTGCTGAGCCCTCAGTGTCCTTTCCAGCACTCACATCAAACCCAGCGTGGGCACCAGCACAATGAGACAGGGAGGGGGACAAACCCCTCTGCCAAGGGCTGGGCAACACCTCCCACACACACAGCAGCGCTGTCAGCTCGGAGGACTGAGACTCATCTCACATACCCCCACCACCCAAAGGTTGGGTTGTGGTCAGTAGGTCGAGAGAGGTTCTCCCCTGGTGAGACCGCATCTGGAATATTGTGTCCAGTTCTGGGCCCCTCAGTTCAAGAGGGACAGGGAACTGCTAGAGAGAGTCCAGCGCAGAGCCACAAAGATGATGAAGGGAATGGAGCATCTCCCTTATGAGGAAAGGCTGAGGGAGCTGGGTCTCTGTAGCCTGGAAAAGAGGAGACTGAGGGGTGACCTAATCAATGTTTATAAATATGTAAAGGGTGAATGTCAGGAGGATGGAGCCAGGCTCTTCTCTGTTACATCCAGTGATAGGACAAGGGGCAAGGGGTTCAAGCTTGAACATAGGAGGTTCCACTTGAATATGAGAAAAAACTTCTTCACGGTGACAGAGCACTGGAACAGGCTGCCCAGAGAGGTTGTGGAGTCTCCTTCTCTGGAGACACTCAAAGCCCGCCTGGATGCGCTCCTGTGTGATCTGATCTAGGTGTCCTGCTCCGGCAGGGGGATTGGACTAGATGATCTTTCGAGGTCCCTTCCGATCTCTAACATTCTGTGATTCTGTGCTTGTAGACACCACACTGGGGCACTGCTGTGTCCAGAACTGGGCACCTGCAGTGCAGGAAAACCTGCAGGTGCTCTCGAGGTAAGGGCAGGCATACGGACACGGCCACAAAGCCCTGTCTGGAACCACGGTGATGCCGTTCTGGGGCAAGCTGGGCATCTCCCGGGCAGCCAGGACTAGCTCACCTGCAGCTCCTCGATCTTGGACAGGTAGTACTGCCGGAGCCCTGTGCCGCCTTTCCCATCGTCCATCTCCATCTAGGAGAGAGCAGAGCTCAGCACCACCGCCCCAAAGCCCACCCATTCCACCTCCAGCCTCCCAAACCACCTCTCCCCTCAGCCAGTCTCCGCGCTGGTCCCCATTTCCCCCTCCGACCTCCC